TTCTAATACGTTAAGCTTTTTAGTTTTATATATGTGCATATATAAAAAGATTATATATATGCATATATATATATATATATATGCATATATATAATCTTTTTATTTTCTAGAGATTAACTATCAAAAAATCTACTTTCAGCAGAAAATTATATTGAGACATTCAGGCTTTAAAACAGAGCATACATCTATTTCTTAATCCACTCCTTCAGCTGTGTTCACCGAGTGTCCAATGGGCACAGTCTGTGTGAGGCCAGAGGTGGGGTTTTCCGGGAAATCAAAAGCCAGCAGGAAAAAGACTTAAAAACGACCAACCCTGTAATGTTAAAGTGAGTCTCAGAATAAAGGTTTGTAAAAGTTCTGGTGGACAACAAGGAGAAGGAATGAGCTTTAAGTTGATGTGGCAGGGAGAGCTGCATATGGGACTTTGGCGTTTAAACTAAGTCCTGCAATGGAATTGGAGCTGGCCAGCAGCCAGGTGAAAAGGGGGAGGGACACTCACCACCATTAGGTTTCACCAAGTACAGGATGAGAAAGAACCAGTATGTCAGGTTTCATTTGGTATTCATCTTGACTGGGTTGACATCTATGGTTATCTTTCTTGTTCAGTCTAGAGAAAAAGTTGGTCAGAAAACAAAAGCTGAAATCACCCAACTCTAGGGAAAAGTACAATTTCAGATAATTTACACATGACTGAAAACATAACACTATTAACCAAATAACGAATTGTGTTTTAAATAAATTGCCTTTAAACATTAAAGAATTAAATGACTCATTCTGTCTCTAGCCCTGAGAAAGAAGCATGAATTAGGGAGGTAGATCCAAAGTAGAAGCCCCACAGCGCCCAGCACAAAGGTCTGACAGCCAGGAAGGCTCAGCATCGCTTAGCGTGAGGTTTGGTGTGTCGAAGATGCCCAGTAAGAGTTGCTTGAATTGTTTTCTGTTCATGTACATAGATTTTTCTAATTTCTTTATGACTGAATTATATGGAGCTGTATTTAATGAATGTGCCTCTTCTCCATTTCAAATTCTAATTTCAATTCCTGATTCATACCTAGAAAGTTCTAGAGTGATTCTCAGTATAGGACATGTGATGCCTGGCCTTATGCTAGGATCTACACTTGAGGTCACTTTCAAACTTAATACTGAGACACCTTAATACAACATCATCATTGCATTCGGGTCTGTTTCAAGAGGTTAGGAAAAAACGTAAAATGGTCAGTATTTATACAGAGTCATTTTGCTTTCCCTTCGTTTTTACATATCAAGTCTCTTTAATTCTGAAAGCTAAATTTCAAGTTCTAATGCTGCCTTAACTAGTAGAGACTTTATTCTCCTCTCAGTGCACCTCAGCTGATGCAAACACTGGAAAAGAGCATCTCTTTGCCTACCGCTGTGAAAACAGCTTTCCATCTCACCTAAGGTTCAAAATACGTTACTGAAATAGAAATGGACGTGTTCCCATTACAAACTATTGTTACATTATGAAAAATATAATGATTATAATACATTATTATATTTAAGTATAAAAGCTCTGCATTGCAATCTGCCATTGAGTGGCATGTTTTAAAGGAAGAGTAATATCTCAGGTCTCTCTATAAAGCATTTTGCTCAAAAATTTTATCTAACTATGAACAATGAGAAAAAGCATTATAAAATACATTTTGAGTATTCCATGATGAATAGGAACATGGTACAGAATTAAATTTAGAGCAATTATGAGTAGAGTTCAAAGATATTAAATACTTTATTATAGTCGTGGTTTTAGTTTGCAGTTTCAATGAAGAAAAGCTACATGCACTGACTTTTTAACAGGCAACATTAAATAAGTGTGCATCATCCAGCAACCTATTTGGTTACACAAAAGTCAAGGAGTACCTAAAAGTAAACACAAATAGTGGCCCTAATGATATTTCTGTGCTGAAATGTACTTTGATGGTGAGTGTTGTAACGTGCTAAATTCTGAGGTTTCAGTGCAACAGAAACCATACTGTATTGAGACATTCCACCTACAGTTTGTGGTCACGAAAGTCTGATTAAAAGTGGTTTTAGATATATGAAAGCATTTTGGGTCAGTGCCTCTTCTATTGAACCTACTCTGTAGCCTATTTCACTAAACAAAATACCAATGTGCAGGTATATTTGCATAGCTAAATTGCATCTAAAAGAAATATTGAAAGACATTTTGTATAAATCTAAATGATTAATGATTGTGCATTTTTACCCATTTCAAAATAATAGTTTTTATTTAGCTTCTCCTTAATACTGATTATGGCTCATCTGAATGAGCCATAATAAAACATTTTCTAAAATAATATGATAATCAAATATGAAGCTAAACCACTAGCTATATTTTATTGGAAGCACTTTAGCAAGACCGTCAATAAACATAAAATATCAATAGAAGGTGCCACATTAACAGTTATTACAAAGAAAAACTGTCAAAGTTGAGATGTAAGTAACATATTCAAGTAGATATTGACTAGTTATATGAGCTGGTAAATACCTAAATGCTATGTTTTCCAAAGAATGATCAGCAAGGATTTCATAGTTCAGCTTTTACCCTTCCATCAGGAATAGTAAGCACCTCAAATGCCCTTAATCGAGAGACTTTTCAAGCCACCAAGACAGATAGATTTCGTAAGTTCTTCTTTTCCTGTAGGTCTTCTCAGAAAGGAATGGAAACTAAGATTTATTGAGCTGCCACTTTAAGCACAGTGCTTGATACTGTACACATGTTACTTTATGTAATCCTCACAGCAATTCTAAGAGTAAGTGTTCTTTTCATTTTACAGATGAAAAATCAAACTCAAAAAGTTAAGTGAATTTCTCATAACTAGTAAAGAGCAAATTCAGCCTTCAAATCCAGGGACCCACATTCTTTCCTTTCTATGATGCTGCCTTCATGACAGATATGATAAAACAATATAATCATTATTAAATACAGATTTACCTTTCTAAAGTTCTATTTATGAGTTACTAAAAAATTAGGGGACAAGCTATGAAATAATTTTATATAGTGTATCAGCTTGAAATTTCTAAAAACTTCACATAAAAGTTTTTCCTACTTCACTTTTTTGTACCAGAAACCTTGAGCATGCTCCCATCCCTGTCTGCTCTTCTGGGAGTGCAGCAGTGAGCAAAACAAAAACGGCACATGCTCTCCTGGGCCACGCACTGCAGTGGGAGAGACAGGCATTAAACAAATGATCACAGAAAAATATACAAATGATAACATTCAACAAGGGCTGTTAAGGAAAAATAAAGAGTGATGGCTAAAACAGCAAGAATTAACAAAGGTGTGGAGGAATGAGGAGACCAGAGACCAGGTGTCTGCCTGTTAGTCTGCGGTTCCTGTCGACACATTCATTTAGGTGTGGGGGACATGGAAGGATTCAGAGTTCACACTGAGGGCTCTAGTTTGGGTGAGTGAGTTTACGTTGAGATGGGGAATGCAGGGGGAGAGCAGATTCAAGGACAAACATAAAGAGTTTAAGCATTGGGGGTGTTGAGATTCCTAGGACGTTGAGATACACTTAGGACTGAAGGACATCCCCTGGGTGTCTGGAGACAAGGAGGAAAAGTGGGAGTGGGAGTCTAGATAGGAGAATTACAAATGCTAGATAAAACCAAGCTGACCACTGCCACATGGGTTGAATATGACAGTGAGAAAGAAATGTAAATACTAGTCCTGTTTGAAAATAATAACTAAATCAAGTTAATCAGCATTTCCAAGAGTCTAGACCTCAAAAATTTAGCTCTGACGAATGGTAGTAAGTGCTTCTCAAAATTAATAAATAAGCAAAGAAATAAGTGTTCTGTCACATCTAGGTTTGGGAGGCAGGTTAAACAAAGTTTAAAAACTTTATCAGCCTTTCATATACCAATATGCCTCATATCCCAAATGCATTGGGCCATTGAGCTTTTTCTATTAAGGAGTGTTTTATGGAAATGATATTCTACAGAAGACCTGCTGGGGAACACTGGGTCATGTAAGGGCTTATCATTAAGAATGTTTGTAGGTTTGGGTAGGCAGACTGGGATTTAATCAAGAGAGGACTGAAACTGGGAATCGTGAAATCTATGTTTGCACTTGGTAGGACTGGCAGGTAGAAAGTATCCGAAGGCAGAGAAAAGGAGCTGTTTGGGCAGGCTGATCGGGAGAGAGGCGGTGAGAGGAGGAGGTTTTTGAAGGTTGGGATGAATTGAGGACGGAATGATTCCAGACAGAGCGAACATCTGGGACAGGAAGCTGATAAGGCCGTGAATGATAGAGCCGCCTGGGAAATAGACAAGAAAGTGTGAACCTGAGAAACATTTTGAGGGAAAGAATTATGGGGCTTGGTAATAGATTAGATTGAGAGAAGGAAAGAGCCAAGATAACAGTGCAGTTCCTGGCCTGGGAGAGGAAGAAAGATACACAGAAGAATGAAACCAAAACCCTAAAGTACTTCTCAATTCCCTGTTGGATTTCAGAAAACAGAATACAACGCTGTCTGAAAGCATAGTCAGTCATATCCCTCCAAGTGTTTTCAACTAAATGGCATGAGACTAAACAATTAAAAATTTTTTTGAACACAAATAGAAAATGCTATGTTCATAATGTCATGTCCAGTTTTCAAGTGGTCAAAAAATAGTTCCAAACTTAATTATAAAGGAAAGATGCCAACCATGCTGAAATTCATTTTTTTTTAAATCTTACATTGTTCAAAGAAACACAAACGGTACTCTGGTCACCTTCATTAAAATTTCCTGCATTAACTCTGGCATTTACAGTTTCACATTCAGCAACAAGCTAGAAATCACACATTTTCAAATTCTGAGCAGAAATTAGTTTTAGATTTATTTGCTTCCTTTCCGAATGTGTTAGTGCCCAAGGGCCCTGACAATGGCACACTTTGTTTTACAAAAAATATATAAATAAAATGTACTGTTATTTTTTTTAAAAAAAGCCATGATTTATTTTTTCTGTAAAAAACCTGCCTGCTACTCTGTTTCTCCAGGTGACTTTTACGAAGAGGAAGTTCGGGCTGATGAAGAAGGCGTATGAGCTGAGCGTGCTGTGCGACTGCGAGATCGCGCTGATCATCTTCAACAGCACCAACAAGCTGTTCCAGTACGCCAGCACCGACATGGACAAGGTGCTCCTCAAGTACACGGAGTACAACGAGCCGCACGAGAGCCGGACCAACTCCGACATCGTGGAGGTGAGAGCGCGTGTGTGCTTGGTGAGCCCACACACTTTGGCAGAACCACAAGTTATCTGGACCCCCTTCCCCCGACACGTATACGCAAGGACGACCTCATTCCTTCCTAAGATGTTCATCCCCACAGGTGCACCCAGGGTTATCACCCCCAACTAATAATCCCCCCTTTCTTCCCCCTTCAAAACTTAAGTTAGAATGACATGATGATAAGGACTATGTAAATCTGCCCCCTTGCTAAAAATCAAACCCTGGTATCAAACTATTGGCCTCATCTTTCACATGTCCCCATTGTCCACTGCTAGGTCAGGACACCAGGTTGGGAACTATGGCCAAGGGGCGGCTTTACCACATTTTGGATGACTTCTCACCATTTCTTTTCAGTATAGACTAGTTTCCCAGCATAGTCAATGAAAAAAATATTTTAAAATGAGCTCACCTAAACCTACACTCCAGTGTTTACTCTCTAGCTCTTCTTTCTAATTTATTCTTCCTAATGCATTCTTACTGACAGAAAGATAATTATTCCCCTAGAAATGTTTTTCCTCCAAATATAACAATGAAAATTGTTAATACACATACTATCAGAAATCTGACTAAAATGTATTTCTCTATGTTAGCTCAGTGTTTTTACCAAGGTCAGATTTAAAACACTGCCTTATTATGCCAATTATAAAATAAGCACATTGAAACTCAAAAGTGTTTTAGATTTGTTAACATGAGTAACATTGTCATACGATTTTAAGTGCTCTCGCGTGTGTCCTATTTTAATATTATTGCCTTGTAGCACCCTTCATAAGCAACGCATACTGAACCAGAAAAGAAGAGGTGTAGCGAGGACTGTTCATCCTTACCTGTCAGTTTTTCTTACCTGTCTACTCATGGTTTCCTAGGTTATGACTGCTTTCCCAACATGCAGAAAAAATTGATAGATATTTCTAAAGTATGTGGTCCGAGTCAGTTTGCCTGAGTCTAAGTCATTCTTGCCATTGCTCAAACTGGTTCCATATTATGAAAAATATCCAGTACTAATCCTGGCCAAATTAACCTGTCTCTCACATCCATCTTCGCTTTATTTATTATAATTGTCTACAACTAGACATTGCTTTGCTTTTATTTGAAAGTTTTGTAAAAGTATTCTGCTAACCAATTTAAACAAGTTTTTCTTCCTAATAAGACCAAGCAAATGATTTCAGAGAAACGAAAGTGAATGATAACTAGACCTAATGTGATACATGTTTAAAATACTTCAAAATATGATACATGTTTAAATATTTGCATTATTGCATATCATTTTTGTTTTTCATTGACTGATGGTTTTGTGTACTTGCCTCAATCTAGAAATTTTAGATTATTTATAATACTTACCTACTGTGTGTTTCAGATAGTATTTTATTCAGGTGCACATATAAATGTGAAAATGTATAAAGAAACAAGAATGTGAACAGCACTAGTCAATTGTCAAATCTCATAGGTACTTTTGTCTGTGTCTGTCTGTCTGTCTTTGTGAGCCGTGCCTGTTTAACATAAGTTCCAAACACAAAACAACTCTATACTCAAAACTTCATCCCATTACCAAAATTATTACAACCGACATTTCAGGGTAACAAAATAATTTGATTTGGAATTTGGCATTAGACTTGAACTGTTCCAGTCCTTAACATGACATGAAATGAAGTAGAACCATGTTAAACTAGTAAAAAAAATTTGTTGACTTTTAAAATTTGGTTTTTTAAAGGAGTTGAAAATCTAGAAACCTCACCTACTGATGAGTTTGCTCAACAACATCCTCTGTGACTTAAAGGCAGCTTAACAGTTTCCATACTGCACAGACTTGCATATTCTTGGACAGATGGGCATCTGGGCCAGACATCCTCCCAGGCTACAAGAGGAGCACTGGGTTGGAAGTCACATGGCCTGCATTTGAACCTTTGTCTTGCACAATCTTGCCATGTGACAAGTTAGCTGCTTCTCACCTAAAAAGTAAAGTCATCGAATTTGAAAGTCCTTCATGACATAATTCTTTAAAAAGCAATACTTTTAAAAGAGATTAAAAAAACAGCTGTGTTATCTTGTGGTTAGTATATGAAAGCTCTGAAGCTTAAAGTCATTAGGGGATTCCTAGGCTACAATGTAAAGATTCTAAGGCATGATTCTTTGGCTGAAAATAACATGTGAGTCTGCTCTGCTCAACTACATGAATCACACATTCTTCCCCACTTGCCTTTTCCACACAGTAGCAATAACAGATGATGGAGAAAGAGTGAAGTGGGATGTGCTAAGCTAAGTAAAATTTACATCACCTCCATGTAGAGTCTTTCTTTCTCAACATGCAGTTCATTGAAACCAGTGTGCTTGAGATTCTTGGTGAAGAGGGGATCGGAGTGGGAATCTGCACTTATGACACATTTTCAATCATTCTTTCTTTGGTTCAATTTTTTCCATCGCCATTTATCCCCATGCATCTTCCACCTCCACACAGCTCCCCCTCCAGTTCCCCCAGTTACCACACTGTCATTGGTGTCCATGAGTTCTACACACTGACCCGGGCAACACTAAGACATAAATTGTGTGGGACGCTAGAAAACCTGTGATACACCAGGGGCTTGAATCTGGTTTTAGAATGGAGCTAACATGAAGTTGAGAGTTAAGGCTTTTCTTTTGCTACTTCTGGGTACAATTTTAAATGTTACTTATTTTTAATTTAATGGAATACATTTAACTGAGTAAGTTTCATGAGAAGCATAATGTGTGTCAGGAAGGGTCATTAGTTATAGAAATCCCACTTGGACCATTACCCCTCTCCCTAACCCTCTGAATATCATTTACTCACAAATAAGAAATAGTGAGGAAAGAGAAATAATATGATTCCAGGCACTTAGACTGAAATATAAATTTCTGGACCATACCAGAGAGTTGTGTAACAGGGTCATAGGAAATTGTACAGTGAGTGGGTATTGAGAAAGATTCCTTCTTATAACAAAAAAGCTCTGCATAATTATCATGTCTTAGCTTAATAATTAGCACTGCCGCTACAATGGCACAAAGACTTATAGAGGTTTAACAGACAGGCTGAGAGAGTTTTTTTTTTCATTATCATATTGTAATGCAGCTTGAATATCTGTTTAGATACAATACATAAATATGCCAGATTAGTAAATGTGTTAAATTTTTAATCCACTGGTTTAAAAAACACACAACAGTTATTGTATTAAAAGCATTTCCTTTGAAGAAAGTCTATTTTATTTGAATCTGTACAAATATACTGTATATCTACCCAAAATGCTCGTTTATGAGGCCATTGAAATTCCAAAGGGATTCTGATGGCATTAAGAAACTTGCCCCTCCATGTCTCCTGTCTAGCTCGACCCCTGGTTTTCTTCCCTGCCTTCCTGCCCCCACAGTTCACATTGGGCTCTGTTGCTGGAAGCTGTGTTGTTGAGCACTTCGGGATGACCTGAAGAACGCAGGTCCCCAAGGACATGCTTCCAGGCTATTCCTTCACCTAGCAACGACTTAGCGAGCACCGGCAAAAGACAGGCATCCTTGTTAAGGATGTAAAACAGAAAAATCAACTTAGGGACAAGGAGAGGGCAAATGAGCAATAACCTCATTAATGTAGTACAAGTTACTAAAAGGAAGGCATAAGCTAAACAATATATCAAAACTTTGATTCAAACTGGCCGGTCATCGCCAGATCCGTGCAGGTGATCTTTGGAGTCACAGAAGGTCCAGCACAGGTTACTCTATATCCAGCAAATGATTTCTAACCACAAAACCCATTTGGGAGTGACACTTGGCTCCCTCCCACCCCTCTGTGACTCAGTGATTCTACGGATCTGCCCAGTAGTGTGGGCCAGTAGTCTAGTGACTAAGTATGGAAAGGGAGTTCAGAGGCCCTCTGTTACTCCCCAGGAAATCAAAAAGGCAGATGGAAGTCTCGTAGAAGAAACCTCTGCTTCACAACCATCTCAGTAGAGGATTGCTGGCCTGTTTTCTTTAATTCAAGGATAATCAAGAAGACTGTGGGTTGTGGAGGGGAGAGTAAGAGATGATATTTACATAAAATTTTATTTTCTGTCATCTGAATCCTATTTGAACTTAAAGACTTCTGAGAACAGTTGTTCCAGTACAATGTTTTCTCGCACAGTAACATTTAAAGAATGAATTGGGACTGGAAAGGCCTTAAATTAGCTTATAAACTTCATTGTTTCACAGTGCCACTGGAGGTTATCAATAAGCTAACTATAGAGTTTGATAAAAATTGACTAGTGCAAAATTGAGAATTAAAGATAAATAATAAAAAGTTGATTAGTGCAATTTTGGTGAAAAGCAAATACAGTAAATAGTAGAATTAGACCTCTTTACAAATTCTATATTACAAAGTTTTGGGAGTGAATATAAAATATGAAAACCTATCTATTTAACTTGAGGTTTCATTATTTCTAAACCAGTTAAATAGGTTTCAATTTTATACTTATAAAAATAAAGATATGTAAAATTATTGTTTTGAGTGCTTTGTGGATAAATGTTACACACGGATACTTTTTTAAAGAGAAAGCACGTTCACATTTGTTTGATCATTTGTTGAATTTTCATTCTTTCATGCATTTATTTAGTCACTGAACAAAGATTGGCTGGATTCCTACCATGTGCTACATGCCTGGAGATATAAACATAAACACGGCCCCTCAAGGACTCTTGGTCCGTAAGATTGCTCACAAGGCCATGCAGAAGCCGGCCCCGTGTTTCTCTTCCTCTCCAGCCTCATCTTTTGCTGTTTTCCCCTCAGTGTACTCCTCCCACCACTCGCATCCTGTACCCAAGCCACCTAAACAAGCTTATTGCCCTCTGCTTCTCTAAACCCCTTTTGTTTTGTCTTCAGTATTCCTTACTAGGCCTTCTCTGGCTTTTCTTTTTCTTCCATTCAAATCATTTATACTTTTAAATAGCCGTGCTTGAACTGCACACGCACTATTAGATCCTTTTCCTATATCACAGTC